TCTAAGTGCCAGTGACTTATCTTGTCAGTGAAGCAGGACTTGGAACTTTAACCTTGGTCCACACTGCAGGAATGGGACAGGCCACATGGTCTGGCCACAGAGAGAGAGGTCAGCCCCTATCTTTATTCTAAAAGTTCTAGAGCAGACAAGCCCATGTTGAACATCCTTTGTGCCTTCTTGGGCAGTGCCTGGGGATCCTGGCACGCATTTGGATGTCTGCAAGGGGAACTCAAGGTTTGGATTTCACAAAGAATCCTGAGAGCCCATAACTGGTGACCCACAGTTCCTCATCTGTCTCTCTCACTCTCCTTTCTTCCCCATCCCTCATCATTGGCCATCTCCTCCCACTTATTGGTATTAGAAAAAAAAATCTCTATTAATTTCTAGAAAACAAGAGGCATGTGTTCACACGTTCAAAATAAAGTCTAACTTTCATCATGATTGGCATATGAATAAAAGGTCATCAAAAAGTTTTCATAGCTATGTAAATTGAGGTGGCTGGGTCTCTAGTAAGTCTGAGTGCACTGGGGGCGGAGTGCGGGGTGGGGGGGCGTTGCACAAGGGAATCAGAAGGAAGGTGCTGGCTGGGTGCGGTGGCTCTTACCTGTAATCCCAGTACTTTGGGAGGCAGAGGCAGGCAGATCACTTGAGCTTAGGAGTTCGAGCCCAGCCTGGCCAACGTGGTGAAACTCTGTCTCTACTAAAAATACAGAAAATTAGCAGGACATGGTGGCGCATGCCTATAATCCCAGCTACTTGGAAGGCTAAAACATGAGAATCGCTTGAACCCATGAGATTGCAGTGAGCCGAGATTACACCACTGCACTCTAGCCTGGCCGACAGAGCAAGGCTCTGTCTCAAAACAAAACAAAAACCAAAAAACAGAAGGTGCATTAGGTGGTCATGAAATGGATGGAAGGCTTCCGAGGTCAAAGGGACTACTTTTGTGCAATATCCGCCAATCCCATAAAATAAGGAAATGACCAAGGACTTTTCTATTTGGTTCCTTGAAGCATGTATGTGTTCATGTGTGTGAAAACCTGTTTTGGGGGCAATGAGGACATAAAGGGAGAGGGACAGGTCAGATGACCCTTTTCCCCACTACCTCTTCCCAGCTTAGGAGCTTTGCTGTCCATCAGCGGTAGATACACTCGTTTAGGGGACAGCTTGCCTCCTAGGAAGGGGGCTTTAGCAGCTCCTGGCAGGATTCGGCTCCATAATGAACAGTAGCTTTTCTCCAATGGTCCTAGAAGGAACTCCCCAGCCTGGGAAGATAGGGATCTTCTCTTCTTTACTAACTCCTTCCATCCGGTGCTCATTCTCAGACAAACCTGAGGTCTTGCTGGGCGAAGAGGTCAGGGAAGTGAACACACGAAAACACCACAAACGGCAGTCCCGTGTATATTTAACAATATATATTTATATATATTTTCTAAATCAGTACATTCAGTTTTTAACTTTTTTTCTTCACAAACAGAAGAACTCTTACAATAGTAGACTTTCTAAAATAAATACTATTAAAATAGAGCTTCAAAATAAATATTCTATACAAAGAAAACCTTCTGTGGTAACTTTGTGGTGGGGCGAAGGTGGGCTATGGTGAAGAGGGAAATGAAGTCGGGATGTGGTGGGGTGGGAGCCTCGAACAGCTTTTCTGTTTGTAACATGAAACCAAGCTGTGGGACAGTGAGAAGAGAAAGAAGGCAAGACGCCGCACGCAGTTACCCACAGCAGAAAATGGCAACGCAAGATTCGTTATCGACTGTCACAGTAAGCAGAGAGGGCATGAAAATGCTTGTCAAAGGCATGAACCAGAAGGCTGGTGAGGCTCACGGGATGCCCCAGTGAATTGTACAGTGTAGAGCTGCGCTGCACAAGCCTGCCAGACACTTCCTGGGACAGCAGGGAAGGAGAACAGGACGATTCAAGGTGACAGTCATCCGGGTTCTGGTGCAGATCACTTTCCACGTGTGCCATCTCGGACAAATCATTATCTAGCCGGGCCTCACTGGAGGTATGATGGTGAATGACAGATTCCACGGGGCTGAAAGCACCAGCCATGTCCTACAAGGTCTTCCATCTCAGCGGTGAGGGGGTGCGTACCAAAGGAAGGGATTGGTCTTCACCTCCTTCCTGCTCGGGAAAGCCTTAGCTGTACCCATCTTTTTATCTGGGGGGCTTTGCTATCCAAGCAAAGTTCCCAGGGTGCTCGCTGGAGCGCTGTCCTTCATAGACACGGGCAGCCAAGGCCCCCTAGGAGAAGGGTCCTGGATCCTAGCTGCCCCTCGAGTTAAGGCATAACCCCCACCCACCCCGGGTTTAACAGGAGTGAGAACCAGCCAGCACTTTTCAATAAAGGTCAAACCGAGACATCGTCCAGCCAAACAGGCCATTGGTGACAGGAAATACACTCAGCCAGAAGAAGCTACACACGTGTGTTGTGTTTCTGAGTGCTGGGTCCCTCAGTGGCCCTCGACTGGCCCGAGCTGGGGAGGGTCCACAGGCAAGCCAGCTTTATTCTTCTGTGTGTGTGTGTGTGTGTGTGTTTAAATTTTTGCCAAGAAGCTGAGAAAAACAATACTGAGTGACTGCTACACAACCATGCTGGGAGAACCAAGGATGGTTCCTTTGCTCCTTCCCATGACCACAGAGCACACAGGGCACCGAGGTGGACTCTGAGAGCGCTCTGCAGACATCCATCAAGCAGGCTGAAAGCAAACCAAGAAGAACAAGCTAGAACAGGGGCAGGGGGAGAAAGGAAAAAGCAAACCCAAACCCAGAAAAATCCGTGTTTACAAGTATGTACACAAAAAGTCAGGGTTCAGGAGGCCGTTTGCCAGGAAATAGGGTCTCTGTCGGTAGACAGTGTGGGGCGTGTGTGTGTGTGTGTGTGTGTGTACACAGCTTATGTAAATCGACTCTCCACAGAATGGGTGTGTAGACCATCAAGATCACCAAAGTGCAACTTGCCACTGGATCAAGTTTCCCATGGAGAGAATTTGAGGGAGGGGCCCTTGGGAAAGTTCTGAGGCCTCACAGAAAGTGTGCACATGTGTACTATCGATTTTGGGGCCACCTCATCTGAGGGAAACATCTCCAGTCCCTTCAGTACACTTCTGATACATTCAATTCATATTAAGTGGTTGGCTGAAAGTGTGTTTTTTCTTCTACCACTCCCTCTGAAATGTTCAAGAACATCCAGACATCCGTCACAACGTGTGGCAAGGTAGCTACATGAATCAGCCCTGGAAACCGCAGATGCAATATTTCACATTCGCCTTGTACAAGCTAGCAAATGCTACATAAATAAAGCCAAATAATATGACCCTCCCTTCCTCCAATCAATAAATACCTAAGGTTACAATTAACTTACTCTAAATCATAAGATGTTACTACTAGTCTTCAAGAAGGAAAAAAAAAAAGTCCTTGAGAAGCATTAGGTGCATGCCTATCACAGCTACCTACCTCGCGGCCTCCTTCCTGGAGGTACCTCTGTTCCTACAGAACGAACTGGAGATGCTACGGACGCTTTGCCTCGTGCGCTTCCAGTTTCACCTGGGGTGGTAGCTCTTCTGACTTGGGCCATGCCCTCTCATTAGAGGGAAAAATGAAATACCACACAAAGCAAAAACCCCACACAACAGCTGGGGAGGAAGGACCAGATACACTACAGCTTTTGCATGCAACAAGTACCTACCCACTGGACGTGCTGCACCTTCTGAGTCCTTTAGCACCTTGAGAGAAAGAGTTGCTACAGTCTTTGAGGGCTGTCGGGAGAGGGCGGTGTGGCTGTGCACAAAAGCAGGGCTCAAACCCAGTGGCCCCAGGAAAAACCTTTCCCCTACCCTCTCTCGAGCTCCTCCAAGCTCTTCCGATTCCCCTGCTGGGGCTTCCTAACACTAAAATAGACTCTTTTTTCATCATCTCTCTATTTACAGGAAAGATACAGACACATCACTATACACAAAAGGCTATGACAGTGAGCAGCAGAATCAGAAGAGAAGAAACCCAAACCCAGCCTGGCTCAGCGGCCATTCTGCCAATGGGAGGTGCTGCCTCTCTTCTTTGCTGTTAAAATCCTCTTCTTGGTGGGGAGGGAAATTGTGTTCCTTGAGGTTGCTCACCCCCAGATTTTGAAATCAGCCCTTCCTGGGGGTGGCCCAAAAGGAAGCAAGTTGTTTTATTATTATTTTTTAAAACACCGTTAGCATCTGGTTTAATTATTCTATAAAAACATAATGACTGGATCCAGAGACCACAGCCTCAGACTCATTGGCAAAATGATATTTGGTCTCGCATTTGCCGCCCTGGCTTCGTCTACCCATATAAAGTTTCTGGAAGGGATCTGAGTAGAGAGAACCCACGACACGTAGTGGGCAGGCGAGTCTGTGACTCAGTGAGAACCGAAGGACGGTGTGGTGAGCGAACACCCCCAAGAGTTAGTTGATGCGTTGGAAGGGAGAAGTGCACTGAGAAGTGGCTCCTAAATCCGTCCTGTGGCTCCCAGGAGGCAGAAGAACGAGGCTTGGACTCACTGGCCGTCCTCTGTTCTCAGTGGGCTCCCAAGTATATACAATAGGAACTGCTAGGGTGTTCTATACCTTCCCCAAGACATCAGGGACAGAGTGGGGTACAGTGAGGTGGGGAAGGAGAAGAAGGTATAGAAGACTCCAAGGGTCTTCTTTAAAGGTACCCTAGTACTCAGTTAACAATTCCTCCCAAGCAGCCAGCTCCTGTGAGAGCCAAAGACAATGGAAAAGAGGAAGAGGGAGAGAGAGAGGGAGGGAGGAGGGGATGGAGAAGGAGGGGCTGGGAAGGCATTCAAGCAGCTGCAGCTTCCGGATATGTGTCCACATCTGTGTTCCGTCTTCTGAAAAAGAAAAATCCCCCCCACCCCTCGCAAACCACACCCTGCCCCCTGCACTGTCTGTTTGACACAAAGTTCCAGGACCCTGAAAAAAAGCCCCAAAGTGCTTCTTCATCGTCTTGGGGAAGACAGGGTAGATGGTGGTCTCTGCATCTTCTGAAGCTGGGGGTGGGGAGTGGGTAGACTAGCAAGGTCAGCCTCAGGAGGCTAAAACTTCTGAGCTTGCTGCAGTCTTCCCAGATGTCAGAAGGGAACCAGATTTCCAGGCGGAGCACTGGGGCTTCGACATAAACCGTCAGAAAGGCTTGTCGGGCCTGCTGGTCTTGGCATCCCCGCTGGCTGCTTTGCAGATGACGCTGTTCGTGTGCTTGCAGCGGCAACCAGGGCGGCGCAGACGATCGTAGCCGCGCTGGGCCAGCTTCACGCAGCCGGTGGCAGGCAGGTAGCAGAGCAGGCAGGGCAGCACCACGGAGAGAGCACCCATGAAGGACCAGCGGGCGCAGCAGTTGGAGCGGGAGCAGGAGCACGGGTGGTCAGCACAGGAGCCCTCATCGTCCTCGTTCGTGCAGTGGTAGAAGATGCCCTGCACCAGACACATGCACGTGCCGTAGTTGACCAGGGTCTGGGCTGAGCACAGGCACTCCTGGTTGCAGACCCAGCAGGAGGGCAACGTCCGGGGCGATGCACACTCCTTGCACTTACACTTCCCACAGGCCTCGCACAGCAAGAAGTGCTTGTCCAGCTCGGGTGGGACCGCCGGGCCCTTGATGTCCAGCGGCTTGCAGTGGACCACCTTGGGCTGGATGCGCACAGCTCTTGGCGAGGCCTGGTCGGCCACGGGTGGTGGTGCCATGTGGTCTAAGAGCCGCTGGTCAGAGGATGTGCTGCTGCTGCTGCTCACAGAGCTGGGGCGCCCGCTGAAGGAGATCCAGTGGTGGGTGATGTCCTGGTCACAGCGGGCGGGCGTCGGGGCCAACTCTGGGGCCCCGCCCCGGGTTCGCTTTGGGCCAGTGGTGGGAGCCAGGCCAGGGTTGTCTATGTAGTCGTTCTCCACGTGGCTGGTCTTCATCTGGTCAATGGGTAGGATGGTGAGTGGGTGCTGGAGCCGGCTGTGGGACATCCGGCTGTCAAGAAGGGGCTGGACCATGACTGAGCTGGGAGTCAAGGGGGCGCTCTGTGGGATCGGGGGCTCCATGGGGCTGGAGGTCCTGGACTGTACGGAGAAACAGGCTTCTAGGGGCCCTGGGGGTGTGGTGGGGAAAGGAAGAGAGAATGGATTCCAGGCATCAGTATGTGGCCTGCCAATACCTCACCCCCCTCAGGTCTAGGGGAACCGCCCAACTGAATTCCCTCTGTGGACTTTCCAGTGACTCCCCAGGCTTAGATGGTTAATAATGAGAAGAAGTCAGTGGTGGAAATAACACTTACTGAGCACTTAAGATGGAGGTACTCTCCTAAGCACCATATACATTAAGCCACTGACTTCATGATAATCATAAAACGTAACTACTATTATCCCTTTGCTATTTACAGAAAAGACATGTTCAAATTATTTTGTCCAAAGTCACACAAAGCTATCCAAAACTATCAGTAGCAAGACTCAAATCTGGGCAGCCTGAGTTCATTCTCTTAGCCACTGTGAAACATGCTCTTTATTTAAGATACACAGTTCAGTGGACGTAAACACAGGATACCTGGAACCAGACTCAAATTTGATTCTCACTTTTGCCTAGTGATATTGCTATGAATGAGGTTCTTTCATCTCTATGCCTTAGGTTTGGATTTTGTCATCTGTAAAATGGGCTCTTGTGAGGATTAAATGAGACAATGCATATCTATTACCTAGCATATTACCTGGCATGCAGCAACAAGTTATCACTGTCCCAGGAAATAAGTTTAGATCTCTTGAACCCTTATAAGCACTGCATGCCAAGCATTGTGCCAGGCGCTGAGGACAATGTGGTGAACTCAACACACAGTTCTGGGTGCTCCCATGGAGTTAATCAGCTGGATAAACAAGCCCTTTTTCCAGATATTCACAAGAGAAGGGAGGACTGTATCTAATGCCTGCACATGCAGGATATTAACTTATTAATACCACTTCTTAAGAGCAGCAACCTGCAGTGGCTAATAATCCCTAGGTATGTGAGTTTCTGACAACTTGGATGGGAAATCCTCTGGAGGGGCACTCACATCGCCCATTTCCAAGTGCTGAGCTGAACATTCAGCCTAAATGCTATTTACTAGAATAGCTAAGCCAACCCTGGATCAGTTTCTAATTTCACCGAGAGAGTGCAATTTTAAGTTGGAATCCAGCCAGAGATTCAACTGCAGTGCCTGACACGGAACCCCAGGAAGTCACTTAAATCAAAGAGCGGAAATGGCTTAGTTCAAATTTAGAAAGTGCACATTGTTTTCTATTAGAAGTGCCATTTCCTTGCCTACTGACCTTTACATTTGGAATTCTGCTGGAGATCAATTTAAAGAAATAGCAGCAGAAGGCCAAGACCTCTGCTCAAGGGGACACAATTTGGAATCCAAGGGAAAGATTACACTCTGGGAAGATTCTACCCCAACCTTAAGAACCCCAGGGAATGGGGAGGGAGGGTAGAAGAGAAAGATAAATCTTTAAAACAAAACCAAAAAAACGCCATTGGATTGATACATTATGGGGTGGGGTTTTAGTAAACACTTGCATTTACTAAAATTTGCATCAAGGTGCTATGGTGTTCTAATGAGGAGAGCTGATCCTGCACCCTCTGCTGTTAGGTTTATCTAGAACCTGTCTAAAATAAAGAGCTAGCTCTAGATAAAAGTTTATGAAGGGGATTAAAAGGGGGCTATCCATGGGGCTCCAGTATGTTTATCACTTACCCTGCTAAATGCAAAAAGCATCCAGTCTTTTCTGCAAAGTTCAATGCTCAGTCAACTGATATTTCCCATTCACACAGGGCATCAACTATTGGCTTTGCTCCCATGGCCCTGCCTACTTAAAAAGATGCTGGTATTTCTTTACACACTTTGTTTTTCCTGCCTTGGAGTAAGTCTACCTAGTGGCAGTGCCTGCCCCCCGTGTACTCTTCATATGAAACCAGAGCGTCACCTTGGAATGGCAGACTTCCTCGTGGCAGAGTTTGCCTTAAGTGTCTGGCAGGTCTGCCACCAAAGAGTAGAGACTTGCCAAAGCAGCCTCCCGTGGAGATCCTGTGGTCAGGGCTGGAGAGAGGGAATGCAAGTAAGCCATCTATGGAGAGGAGTTTTTCCAAGGATCGGGCTGATGACAGGGTAGGAACTCCAGGGAATGCTACCTCAGCCTGCCCACTTATTCTCAATAGGGGTTCCAAGGCCTTGCTTCCAAAGTACGTTTGGGCAAGAGGCCCGGGTTAGGAGCCCGAGGTCCAGCACTAAGGACTTTGCCTGGAGGAAGAGCTGTGACTTGGCCTAAGAATAAAAAATGCCGTGGATAAGGTTCTCCAGCACCAGCCAGAACCCTCACCCATGGACAGTGACGACATGATTCCCTTGTTCCAAAAACCCCTGTCAGGAATATTCAGGGTCCTGCCAACACAATATAGGTGACAGTTTGAAGCTTCTATTGCCCCATATAGTTGGGTTTGTCTCTCAGGATCAGGATTGGGTCTGGCTGTGCTGTGGAAGAAAGTAAAATACTCCCTTCCCTTAAGCAGATTCACTATCTCTCTCTCTCTTTTTTTTTTTAATTTGTGAGGTTCTTTAAAAACAGCCACACTTCCTATAGATAAAGAAAGAGAAATAGGCAATGCTCATTTAATGGGCCTTGGAATCAGAAGGCAGATTCCCCAGTTCCTGGAAAAGTCCCACCAGGAAGCCAGGATGGAAGCAGCCGCAGGCAATGGGGATGTTGGCATTTGCAAGCTCCCATAACCCTCCAGAGGCAGCTGTCAACATCTGGGCCTGCAGCTGAGGCCAGACATGGGGATGGGAGCTTGGCCCACAGTGACTCGGCTCTCTGGGGACGAAGCAACATCTGATGGCTCCACTGGGCATATTCTAAAATGTACTTTTCCTATCATAACCCTAATGTAGTAGGATTCCTTTTGACCACTAGCTCAGCAAAAGCCAAATCAAAGTTCCACTGCTGGCCTCACCCCACACCAGCAGGGACCCTCCACAGGAGGGCCCTCTAAGAGTCTCCGCTGAATTTGTTTGACAAAGAAATACAATTTTCTGAGCTGTCTATTGAATAACCCCTCAGGACAGCTAAATGATGTCTCCAAAAAAAAAAAAAAAAGAAGAAAAGAAAGAAAAGAAAAGAGAAAGAAGAAAGAAAAGAAAGAGAGAGAGAGAGAGAAAGAAAGAAA